CCACGCGGCCGCCGCACCCATGGGAGATCGCCGCGCGCGCCTGGCTCGAGTCCTTCCCCGACGGCCGCCCTCCCACCGAGCCCGAGGTCGACGCCTACATCGACGCCCACCGCCCCGAGCTCCCATCCCTCCCCCGTTCCCAGCTCCACCAGCGCCTTCTCGCGCTCCGCGGCGACCAGGTAACACATCTACCCTTTCCCTTTCGACGGTCGACGATTCGCGCACTGGATGGAATTATTACCTGATTGCTCGGTGGTTAAGTTTACTGGATTCATCAACTTGAGTTCTTAGCGTGGCTGCACGAATTGTGACATGATAGGTTTTGGCTGTGGGGTGTCTTTTACATCAATCGAGGTGACCACTGTTTGGGGTTCCAAGTAGCACCAGTCATGCAAAAGTTACAAAAGTTCAAAAACAAAACCATGCAAAATTTAGCTTCTCAAATTAGGTTTTCTGAAATCGAATCGTTATTAGTTTTATTGAAACTCTAATTCGAGCACATTAAATTCTTACTTCAGGTCTTCAGCTATGTGCCTATGTTTATGAGCTTCATTAGCCCAATTTGATCTGCACAATATCTCGTAAATCTGCTAAGACGCAGCTTTCTTTTGCATTCCTCTAATCCTTCCAGTGACCAAGGAAGCTAAGTTCATTGTGCAATTTTTTTTGTCGTTCCCATCAGGTTTTAGATCCAGACCAAAGTGCATTCCCATACAGGTTCCAGCGAACTGATCTATGGAAGCCTGTGTATCAGTGGTTGGAAACTCTTGAGATGGACTCGCTAGTTACATCAAAGCAGATATCGGACTGGCTTGCATCGAACCCACAGGTGATGGATAGGCTGGTTGAGAAGCATTCCAAGTATCATCTGATACACTACAGCCAGCGGATGCACTTGAAACTGCTCAAGAAGAGAGGGAAGTTGCCAAAGGTACAAAATTTTCTGAACCACTTTGATTGGTTCGTGGGTGAAATGTTTTTATTTTCTTTCTACTGGCTGAATTTGTTTAAACCTTTCCAAACAATAGTATATTGGTATTTTGACATCAATTGTATTTATATTTATTCTTTAGGAGATGTGTGGTACTCTGACATGTTTTCTGTTTTTCATGAATCAAATATACTATGTCTAATTTAAATTTAACACCCTTGTAAAGTAGTATTAGCTTTTGTACCTTCCTTGTATTATTACAACAACAAAAGCAAAGCCTTTAGTCCCAAACAAGTTGGGGTAGTCTAGAGCTGAAACCCGTAAGATCTCGCAACCAACTCATGGTTCTGGCACATGGATAGCTAGCTTCCACTCACCCCTGCCCATGGGTAGTTCTTTGGTGACATTCCAGTCCTTCATATCTCTCTTTACGTACTCCTCCATTTCAAGTTTGGTCTACCCCGACCTCTCTTGACATTATCAGCACAATTTAGCCGTCCGCTATGCACTGGAGCTTCTGGAGGCCTGCGCTGAATATGCCGAAACCATCTCAAACAATGTTGGACAAGCTTCTCTTCAATCGGTGATACCCCAACTCTGTCCCCTATGGCCGTATATCATCATTCCGGACCCAATCCTTGTGTGACCACACATCCATCTCAACATGCGCATCTTCGCTACACCTAACTGTTGAACATGTCGCCTTTTAGTCGGCCAACACTCAGCCATTGTTTTTAAGGCGTCCTGCCTTGGACGCTTAAGCGATAAGGCGCCCTGGCAGCGCCTTACAAATATGCCTGCCTTAGGCGCTTAGGTGTCCGCCTTAGGCGCTTAGGCCTTGCCTAGGCGCTAGAGCGGGTGGTGCTCGCCTTAGGTCGCCTTACCGCCTTAAAAACAAAGCACTCAGCGCCATACAACATTGCGGGTCGGTTACTTCAGGCACAGTTATAGCTCTTTTATTTCAGCAGGGGAACGAACCTAGCCTCCTCTAAAGCAGCCCATACTTCTTTTTCCGGTCGGTTACCTCAGGCACAGTTTTTTTAGTAACGCAACTTCTTCTTTGCTTCAATAGTTATTATATGTGGTTATGCTAGTTTGAACTCTTGGCTAGTTAAGTTGCATTTGCAAGGAATCGTTTGAGGTAATAGTACTTAATACAACATACTCATTTTAGTATCTCATAGGTTTTTTATTTGTTTCCGTAAGTTTGTTCTGTGAATACATCTTCCTATCCTCGCAGATAATATTCTGATCGGCTGTTTCTCGATTGCTTGGGAATGGATGAAATCACATTCCATTTGCTCACTGTTGGATCTCCTCAAATGATTCTTACTGCATATTTCGTCTTCCTCTCTGGAGATGACAGTGTGTTGGGTTAGGGTTAAGGTTCGGATGTAGGTTCAGGGTGGAGGTTACCCATGGGGAGCAGGGAGAGCCAGCGGGTGATCAACATGGCGGGGATAGAGGTGATGGCGGTAGCTGCTGGAGTTGGAAAAGGAGGGCCGCGAGAGAGATGACTGATAAAATGTGTTTAGGAGGATGGAGGGCGAGGCTGCTGCTGTTTGTTTGGATTTAGAGCATCTACAGCTAGGTGACCAAACCCTCAAACGCCGGGCTGGCCCGCCCGGTCACGAAATTTCGACCCAGACAGACGCACCAAACGGGCCTCAAATGCCTGGGCTGACCGGCACCCCTCATATCCAGCCCAAATATGGGGTGGATGTGGGGTGCCCGGGCACGTCGGACCCGGCCCACGCTGGCCCACCCGACCCCACATATATTCGTCCCTATCCGCTCGCCGGACCAAACCCTAGCCACTTCACACTCCTCTCCTCTCCACCCTTCCGCTACCCGGGCTCACCTCTGGCGATTTCCGGCTGTCTCCGGCATGGCGGGCAGCGGATCTGACTCCGACCAGTCCGAATCCATCTACTGGGGTGTCATCCCGTGCGGGTTGGAGGAGGCAATGGCGGTCCGCATTGCACTCCGCTGCTCCGGGAGGACAATGCCCAGCCGACGGCAGGATCTGCCTGGCGCGACTCCATAGCGTTGGCCGCTCGAGGCCTCTAGGGCTGGATCATCGCGGTACCAGCAGCCGGAATATCTTTCCTTCCCCATCACCGGCCGGGCAGACTATTGAGTCCCACTGGCCCGCAGTGGGAAGGAGAGGATAAGGGCCGCCGAGGCCCGTATCACGGCGGAAATGGCGCTGGCGGAGGTGGCTGATGCGGCGGCGCGGCTGGCCGCGGAGGAGGAAGCGATCCGAGCCCGCCTTGTGAAGAAACGGCAGCGGAGGAACACGCGCGCCCTCGCCCGAGAGTAGAATCGGGCAGTTCGTGCCATGGCCGGACTGCCACAGAAGGAGGAGAAGGAGGACAACGACGACGAGGACAGCTCCGGCGACGAGCAGATCCGGCTCGATCCCTAATGCGTCTTCGACCGGTACTTCCGCGAGAAGGACGGCAAGGGCGCCGAGAAGGGCAAGGGCAGCCGTGGATGATCTCCACCATAGCCAAACATGCCAAATTTTGGTAGTCCGATGGCATGTTAGTAGTGATGGGGTAGCCGGATGATGTGTTTAATGCGTCGACGTAGTTGCATGAGGTTGTATGGATTTGAGATATGATAATTGTGGTGTCCGGTTGT